CACAGGGAAACATTTCTTCCTAATACCTAACCTAAATCTGCCCCTTTTCAGCTTAAAACTGCTACCCTTTGTCCTATTGCTACACTCCCTGATAAAGAGTCCCCTGAAGTTGTTTCCCTACCTTTGAAGCCCACCATGGCGTCCCATCCCCAACAGTGCCTGGGGCTTTGCCTGACCCAGCAGACTTCAGCCCTGACCTTCCCATCACCAACCCAAACCATTCTATGGTTCTACGATTCTATGATTGTATGGTCTTCGGTATTGGGAAGCTGACAGATGACCAACTAAAACAGAAGTCCAAAACAGGTGGACCTAGCCATGTGATAGTATGTTGTCCTGAGGGTCCATCCACATTTCTTTGTCATGCTTTAACCTCATTCCTGCATCTACAGCCTCTTTATGAAGTGCAAAGCACTCTCTCTCCACCTTACAGCTCCAGAAGGGACGTACTTCTAATTCTGCTGGCATTTCCTCCAATAGCTCCCAAAGCTCAAACACATCATTGCAATATTCACTTATGAAATATTCCAACTGCCTCCTGCAATCAGAAGTAGCTCTTGGAAAGTATTTTTTTTTTTTTTCTCCTGAGCCATTGCCATGGAAGTAATCTCAAGTGACTGGATATATATTGCAGCTAATGGTAGGTCTGGAGCGGTTGGTACGATCACGGATATTCTGGCCAGGAGCCAGGGCAGTATCTGCGCAGGCGAAAGAGGAGAAACAACACATGTACTCAAACTTGCACAGGCACACACACAGACCCAGCACAGAGCTTCCCATAACTTGTCGTTATTTACAAGCTCCTGCATTTATATTGCCACTCGGTGAAATTAAAGGACTTACAGAACTCACTGAGCCACAAAACCTCCTTGAAGAGTGACAAGCATTAGGCTGATATGAGTAGAGGGCGGAAACTGTGATGCGGTGTCGCAGCTCTGGGTCTTCGAGAGAAAGATGAGGTTTCCTGGCAGCTTTTGTTTCCCTTCGTGCATTTTTCCCCTCCAAAACCGACAGGTCTCGTTCCACATTTTTGCACTTGTGATAGAAACAGGCTCCTTCTCACTCGCTGTGAAAAGAGCACGGTAACATCTTCTTCTTGCACGTGTCATGAGTTGGGGTTAAAAAATCTCCCACGTGCTCCTGGGAGAATCCAGGAGCCCTGCTATTTTAAGGAAATAAGTGGGTTTTGAAGCTAGACTTCGCAAATTACAAATGGTACAGGGAGGGGTTCGGAGGTGCTGTGCTGGCTTCACTCTAGGAAGTTTCCTGTTGATGCTTTTTGAGTCATAGTGAGAATTGTTAAAAATCTCGTGCTTTAGACAGAGATGGAAGGAGGATGATAATTTTTCCACTGAGTTTTTTGTAAAAAATTGTAAAATTTTGTAAAAAAAAAAAAAAAATTGTAAAAAATTGTGTCAAACCCCTAGCTCTAAAGAAAAGGACTTTTCTAACAAGATGTTCCTTTTCACCACTACGCCTTCTGTTTTTCAGGGTAATGACATTAGTCATACGAGGGAAAAAAAAAAAATCCTCCTTTGACCTGCTGTGAGATGTATTGCCCATGCTAGCAAGCTCTTGCAAGCATAGGTGAGCTCTAATTAACTACAGAACTATTTTACTAGAAACCTGCCTTACTACCACAGGTAAAAACCATTGGCAAGTTTACTACCACAGAACAGAAACAAAATATTCCATGGCTAGCTCAGTTCTCTTATAGTGTCTGATACATAAGGAAATAATATAAAATATAGGATTTTTAGCTTTATCTTTATTTTTTTCATTTTGACTACCTAATAGATTGCATTTGGTATGATATTCTATCCCTCCGGCATCATTGATATAAAGTGTTTTATCAGGAGAGGATTAACTGACATCAGCAAAATAAGTCTTTCAAACAGAAAACTTTGCTTGAATAGATATTTATTAATGATTCAGAATAAAAATATTTTGGAATTGCCATTTTTGGAAAATAGTTCAAGTTTTCGATGTTGAGTCCCCAACTGAGACAATCAGCATTAGTTTCGCCTGGAATAGAAATTTCATTTTCATTCTCATTTCTTAAGATACTTTCTTCATTTCCTGGAAAATAACCACAAATGCCTCTCTATTTCTTTCTCTTTTTATCCATTTCCTACTTGTCTATCAATCTCATCATCACAGACCATCCAAAGGTCAAATCTCTACCGAACCCAAATAATCATTCCACCTGTCAGATTTATGAATGTTGTGCTATTTTCTTTTTAGGACTTAAGTATCCTGTTGACTTTTGGAGTAGGAATAAGCCTGCCATAGTTCTGATTTTGTTGGCTCGAAGTGGTATTTGTCTGGTTTTTGAACCTGAGACTGGACCACTGCAGGGATCTTGTGCTGCAGAATTTGTGTCTACACTACATAACTCTACAGGTCCAAGCATTTGTCTGTGGTCATCTGTGCTATTAATTTGTCAACCTCTGTTGGTTCCCTGCTTAGTCAGAGCAAAGACACACTCATTTAGGAGGTGGTTCAAGACACCTGAAATTAAATACTCTAAAATAAAATATCTCCTAGGGTGCTAAACTCTCTCTCCTTTTATTAAAGACTGACCTTCTAAAAATTGGCCTCTGGGTGGAAATTAGGTTAACCATGGTGCCAGAATCTGCACTGGGAAAG